CTCAGGGCTGCTGCACATTTGGGGTACTCCACCTCGGGGCATCCACTGTGGCTCACTGTGGCATCCTGCTCTCAGGACAGGTACCAGCAGACGGCTGCGGGGCTGACACCTCGTACCCTTACGCTACTCAGCTGAATCAGTAGGAGAAACCCACCTAATGCCAGGCTTGTGACTCTGGCACTGCCTTGGGTGCACCAGCAAGCTTAATCCACCTAATGCCAGGCTTGTGACTCTGGCACAGCCTTGGGTGCACCAGCAAGCTTTACCACAGAGGGTGCCAGGCTCAGCACGGGCAGCTTGCTGGGGCTGCCCCGCTTATGGTGCTGCAGCCAGGCTGGTGTCAGGCAGCATTCCTGGGGCTGAAGGATGAACTGATGTCACTGCGGAGAGCTGGTCCTCAGCACATGTCATCACCAGGACAGCCTGGGCTTCGGGGGAGCTCAGGTCACAGCAAGACTGGGTAGCTGGGGCAGGGGGATAAGCCTGACAAATGGACATAGGACTGGCACTCCCGTCACCACAAGAGCTCTCCTGGGGATCCCAATTGGCACCACATATTTGGAGAACAGTTTGCACTCCTATCCCCTCCAGGTGGACACCCTGCAGGTGCAGAGGGAAGCTTGGCAGAGGCACAAGGTGAGACCCTGCCATGGGGAGCCCCTACCCCTAGGACCTGCCATTGCTCACCTCCCAAACGGTACTGACAGGTAACACTGGGCACCATCCTTACCCTGGCAGCCAGGCCTGGTCCCACACATTCCCTCCTCCAGGAGGGCTGTGGGAGCGCACGGCTGTGAAGACAATGCCATCTATCCTCCTGGCTCTTCCCAAGGCGTTCAGGACAAGTGCCAGCCGAGGCACTGGCTGGAGGACAGACAGGCACCAGGCAGAGCTGGAGTGCCATGACCTTGTGTCCCCATCTGCAATACCTGGCCTGCTGTTACTGAGACACACCAATGCTTCCCTCCACACACACAAGCATTTCAAATGCAAAGAACAAGGTGTTTTCCCTAATTCCACAACAGAGTAGCTCTTCACAGAGGTGTATGCCTGCAGGAAGTTCTGCTGGCAGATAAACTGCAGCAATCGACAGGCAAGGGGCAGACAGACAATAGCCATTCCTCAGTTTACCTGCTGGATCTTGTTCTGCCTGGCTGCATGGAGCAGAGTCAAAGGAAGCTGCTCGGAGGCAGGGAGCAGGCAGCAAAACAAAGGCAGGGAGAATACCAGCCAGCCCAAAGGAACAGTGGGGAAGCTGGTAATTGGGCCATGTGTGTTTGGCTTTCGCCAGGCTAGCAGGTTTGTTTTTCCCAGGCTGGAGCCTAGACTGAAAAGAGACACAAAATTATTAAAGAACTCAACCTAGAAAGGATAAAAAAAAAAAAAAGGAAAAAATGTTAGCAGAAACGGCTGGAGGGGTTCACCGTTCCTTTCCAAGGGCATAGATGCCTGGGAAATTATTATCACTGGGCAAAGAAAAATTAAGTTTAGATAAAATTCATTCCAGTTGACTTTTATTGCTAATTTAACTCACTTCTTAGCTGGGAGCTTACTGGGCAGGATGCATTAGATCTTGCTGCAGAAAGGTAGAGCTGCGCCTTCCTGATCCCTTTCTTGTTGCAAGAAGCTTCCTGCAGAGATCCAATGAGACCTGTTGATGAGTCAGACGCAGAGCCACCCTCAGGGACTCCCCCACAGTGGGGCTGATCCTCAGTCTTTTTGGCAGGCAGACATTGCAAGGAGCTGTACATCTACCTGCAGGTATGCCGCACTTCTGGCAGGCAGGACATGTGCAGGAGCTCATTGGATTGCAGCAGAACTTCCCCAGTTCACACCAGCTGTGGGTTTACTCATTAACACAGTACCAGCCACTTCCCTAGGAGTCTGTGCTTTCTCACAGAGATTTATTTAACTAGACTAACTCAGGTGCTTGACATGAAGGAGGTCTTTCCAGTAGCCATGCCCCACACAGCATCTTGCTGGTGTCTTGAGGGAGGGAGGTGGAGAGCCAGAGCATGGGAATCTTCACCTGCCTCTCCTTGGGGCGTCCCCCAACTTAGTAAATGGACGCTAGGAGAGAAAGAAGGGAGTAACACTCAAACCTTTCTCGACAAAACATATTCTGTTCTCCAGGGATTTAGCAGGTACCTTCTTTGCATGGAGGGGTTCAGAGAGGTACTGACCATGCAGCACTGGGGGAGCAATGGTAGGTAGTGAAAACTGTATTTGAATATAATATACAGAATCAAGACAAGGTAACAGCTCATGTGGGGCATTCGATTTCCTTCATGCGTTATACTCCTTTCTTAATACTCTTTTATTTTACTCAAACAACAGTTCATTACCAGCAACTGTCAGTTGTTACTGGTCCTGATGGATGAGCTGCTTGCTGGCATTTTTCTTTGAGAAATTTTAAATGACAAGCATTAGGCAAAATTTCATCCCTCTAAAAGACATGGACAATTCTTTACCAGGAAAAGCTGGAGAATTCAGAAGACAGAGTCTCAAGCAGAGCAGAATGCCAACTCTATTTCCCAAAACCAGACTTTGGCTGTAGTTACACGATTGATATTGAGATGAGTGGTCATATTGCTGCTATAGCACCTTCTGCAGGCAAAATTTTTAAGGCCTTCTTTAATTGGAGTTATGTGCTCTTTAGCATTTACTCTTGATTATTTCCTATTGATAGTCACTAAAACAAAGTGTATATTAATGCAGACAGGAGTTTCATTCATAGATGGTGAGCTACAACAGGATTATTTGCAAGTGCAAAGATCACTCACATGAATAAAGATTTGGTGGATCAGTGACTCCACTGGTAAAATGACTAAAATCCTTCTTCAAACACAATCCAGATATGTTTTCTTGCTACTTATCCAAACTTTTGTGTTGTTCCAGCTTAATTAACTGAAAGCACATAATTATCAGTGAGAGCTTCGACAGAACAGGAGAGGAAACATGCTTCTTGGTGATCAACTTGCAGCCACAACAAAAAACTCCAAACGAGCTCTGTGCAGGAAAAGCAACCCCCTCCTGCTACATTATTCCATTGATCTACAAACATTTACATCTCCTTTGTTAACTAGTTTTCTGTAGAAATTTCATGATCACTAAGGAACATGCTTTCAACTGCACCTCAAGAAACTTCTGGTTTAGAGTGATCCCGTCTAAAAACAGAGTGTGTGTTTTTGCTCTTAATTTGTGTTATACATTAAATCTGTCTGGCTTTTCTTGGACATTCAAGATTCATTGTAAATAATTCAAACTGGATTTACAAAAGAGAAGAGGCTGTACAATGAATGCAAGAACTGCATGTTACTATCTCTCTGACAGACAAAACTAACAAAAGCATTTCATGAAGGCTACATAAAATGTTTTCTCCTCTTTCACATTGTTTTGTGTTCTTCATTCAGTACCAGATTGACGAAATGAACATTTGGAGGATTTCTATCTAACATAATAATAAAGTCTAAAGAACAAATTGTTCTGGCAATGGCAAGAGAATAGTTTCACCTGAATAAACTTTATCCATATAATGTGCACTGAAACTATACACAGACAACCCTGGTAGCTCAAAGATTAACAAGGAACACCTGTGAAGTACGGCTGCAGCAACACTTAAGGTAACGTGCATTCCCTTCCCATGGGAGTAACTAGGGAAGCTGAGACCAAGAACATACTATTTATTTACATATTTATTTCACAACAAGGTACTTTTACAAGTAACAAGTGCACAGCAGTTAGTAACACATTTGGAAAAGTCATGTACAAGTCTTAATTTTCAGGGTTAAATGCTATCTTTAGGTTGCCTTATAAACATGATGCTGGGACTGCACAATATGAGCAACTGCAGACGAAATACAAAACTGGCTTTGTGCACCCAAGTTCTTATTAAAAAATCACTGTGCTCCCTTCCAGTTTACCACCCACTCTGTGATTTTATAAAGAGTTGCCTTAAGAACAGTTAATGAGCAGCAGAGGATTTTGTTTTTATTAAGTACACTTACAAAAGAAAGCATTAAAGATAGAATTTACCAACGGAAGATTAATAATTTGTGTGTATTCTGTAAGTCAGAAAAATGTGGAATTGAATCTGAACCTACCACGACCACTGATGAAAAGCTTTCTCCAGTTATCAGTATAGGTCATGTCAGATACTTCAGCTGAGCATTTCCAGTATGCAAGCATTATCAGCAATCCAGACTAATTTTGAGAGCGTGCTCTAATCAGTTTCCCTACCTGAAAGCCTGGCATAAATTAATATAGCATCAACAGCAGCCCTTATCCCAAAGTGGTGTCTGAAGGTCTGAGAGTTGAAATCTCTCAGGACAGCATATACCAGCACAAGCCAGACCAGCAAGAATTCACAAAAATTTGTTCTGTGGAACATCTCCAATCCCAATTCTGATCAATGGTGAAGCAGAGATGAATTCTCTGCTTCAAAGTCACATCCATCCAGCACTGTCGCTGCAGCAGAGATCAGCCCATGTTATAGCTGCTGTCCTTCCAAAAATGATTATTAAGGAGTACACAACAGTAATCAACAAAATAAGGACTGCAAATACCATCTGTTTATTTACACTGAAGACAGTCCTTATATTCTCCAAAGATACTACTTTTTCATTGATCCCACTTAAATAGTTGTAAATTTTCTGGAAGGCTGGGAGTTCTATTTTAGTGCTGTGGGTCTTTCAGGGAAATAGAGGACCTGTACATAACTCCTCTGGGGAAACGTCGAAGTACCCCGCTTCATCGGATATGCTGACCCTGCCAGTCTCCAGAGGGCTCGGCGCCAGTATTCCTACCTTCCCACTGCTCAGAAGAGCAATTCCCAGGTCGTGCAGAGCCCCACCGCGTCCCTCCCGAGAGGCGGCGCGGCCGATAGGTGGCGCTCTTGCCCCGGCTCAACACGGACGGGCGGCGGAGCCGCGCCGCTCCTGCCCCGCACAGAGGCACCTCGCAGCCACGAAACCCGATAAAAGACTAATTCCGCAGGGCACTGTCAGTGAACACCTTCGATTTTATTGTCAACACACTCAAAAACAAACCTACGTTGAAAACAATTATTTCTGAGAACAGTAAAATACAAAATATTTCACAGCGAAGTTTGTTAATGTAACACAAACAGAAGTGAGACATAGAAGATGCCAATGTGCATCAGTCACGCTCATGGTCACAAGTTGAAGAACTGTACCACTCCAGAATTGTCACACAGGCTTGGAAAATGAGCATTTGACAGTTTAAGCATCATCTCTGTATTTCTAGTATTACATATTTAGTTGGAAACTTTCTAGCAGTAAACAGAAAAGATTAAAATTTTGTCTTCAGGGTTTGTTTTGAAAGCACCATGACAACAGACTGTTCCAACTACTTCCTTACGGAGGGAAGTCTAAACAGAGACAATTATTGCAGTTGCAGGTTTTTAGGGGTAATGTTTATTGTTATCTATGATAGGTTTGTGAATATACATTAACAAGCAAACTCAGTATTTCCCGACAGTCCCTCCTGGAAAGCAAAACCAGCATTGCCCAATTTAAATTTGTCCTTCTTATATTAAAGAAAGCAATGTCTTATATTCTGTACAAAATGCATATGCTTGGCCAGGCACTGACCAGCTTTCTCTTCTTCTAGATTCTAATCCAAATAAGCAAAACTTCTTTATTGGTTAGCAGCAAAGAAGTTCTGCAAACTTCACACAATAAATAGAATTCTACTTAATTTAAATTTATTTCCAGAAGAGTGACATGACTAAATGATTTGTATTAGACAGTGACACACGTAACACACTCAATCACCAAGACCCTAGGCTTAGTCAGAAGGGGAGAGATGAACAGAGTAAAGGGAATGTCTGTTCTAAAACAACTGAAAGTTTTATGCTTACTTTGATTTTCTCTTAAAGGTCCCAAAGTAAAGTTTCTAAAGCTACCTCAAGGTTACTTCTCACACAGGCAACTTAGTTCAAAACTCAAGTTTGAACATCAACTCTTCTTGAAAAACTGAGACTTTCCTATACTCAATGACATTCCTGACATTCTTGTCACTTTCCTCATCGCTTGCTTGATCGCTTTTCATGTTTATCCTTTGTGTGCTGGTTCCTGCTTTGGTGCCTTGGAGGAGAGTAGCTGACTCTCCTTCTGGATTGAAAGCTGGGTGTATATGGATGAGTTCTGCGTTTCTTTGGTTTTTCTTCTTTTCTGCTTTTGCTTGGTTCAGACTCCTTATCATCTTCCTTTTGCTCACGCTCTTGGTCTTGTTCTTTTTGAGATGGCAACGTGTTTTTGATGGTATTAATAAGAAATCTTTTATTCGTACCAGCAAGAGGACATTTCAACCTGTAAAGACATTTAAAAATCATCAAAAGACAAGGTAAAAACATCCCAAAATAAGTCTGAGATTTTAACTTCAGTGATTTTAAGACAGGTTTGTGATTTTGGCTTTCCTTGCATGCCACCTAGTGTAAACTCTCAGTACAGAAAAGTAAGTTCCAGATCATCACCATTCTTTTGTCTTACTCTTTATGGGAAGAAAATTATTTTACTTCAACACAGTGAAAATCCACATGATTTTCTCAAGGTAGTGTGTGGAGGTGGAAGCAAAGGATGCCAATGTATTTTAAGGTTGATGGTGCCTAACTTAGGTATTCAGAAATCAAACATACTCTAAGTCAAATCAGAATGTCTTACAGAAATTACAATCTCCTAAAGTCAGCATTATCTAGTGAACTGCAATATTCAGAAAGTAAGATACACATGCAGCATAAACATACACATGAGATGTAACAATTTAAACTTATACTCAACAACCACCGAAGTGTTTTAATTGTTTTTCTTAAACAGTAAAGATACTTATCCAACTATTTTCCATTTTTTAACTTTCTTGCTCACAGCTAAGCACTTCTGCACATAATTTATCAGCTGGCTTTAGGAAACAAGTATTGTAAATTTCATTTATCTTGTTGGTATCAGCTGTACTCTACTTATTCCCAATTTATGATCTTTTAAAGAATGGAATAAGAAAAAAAAAAGTTTAAATATGTTCCTATATGAAACAGAAATCACTCTGAAGACTTTGTTTATAGTTGGAGTCACTGTGGTATTTCTCTTCACATTTTTGAGACAGATTACAGGATTGCTTTAAAAAAAATCAGAGCTGTTAGAGAGCACAGTAATTTACTGACTCAACCACAGAGTCATGGGATCCTAACAGCACAATGTTAAGATCATCTATGCTACTTGAATATTTTGTGTAAGTGTAGAAATTAAACCCTAACTACTCAGAAACCTTTGACACTTCTAAACCATTAGAGCTATTAGAACAACAAGCAAACTACAGCACAGATCATGTATGATTATTTAATATACTTCATGACTTAACTGGACATGGAATTTACCACGGTGTTTTGCTTCAGGTCTGCTTACTATGCATTCCTGATAATTGTTCTTGTGCTAAATCCTTCAAGAACTTAGGAGAGCAATTTTAGAAGTATACAGCCACGCTGTTTTATTTCCACTAGGTATTTTCTGATACACATCTACTGCATAGAATTTTAGAATTTTCTAAACTTTCTTCATATAAATCGACATTATTTTTCTTAAATCCTGTTTTTAAATAAATAAGACTTTTAATCTAGTATAACTCTTTTGTAAATTAGAGAAACTATTTATCCATTAATTGTTTTACTGAGTAAAAACATGAGGCTAATAAATGCCAGTAGAACAGGGTTTCTATCTGAAGCTACACCACTGATGAACATGGTGCTGAATGAGCCACAGCACAGGTTACACTTAAGACATAAAAGAAACCAGTCAATGTTAAAGTCCTTTCTATGCCTTATGAGTGCATTAAACTATTGTACCTCAACATTTCTTACAAAGGAGGGTAGCCTTCTCTAGGCTGCATCCAGGCAAAATCTATTTCACATTTGTTCTTCCTCTTGTTTTTTCTTAAGAGCTAATGCACTGATTCAAGCATTAATATATAGTGCTAGAATGAGATACTCCATCTGCCCTATAATAAATCTATCTGGCTGAAGCATTCATTTCTTTTTGACACTATGAGTGCTGGCTGAGCCACACTAAGAATGAAAATTGATGAGAAATGTTGGAATTGAAAGTCAGCTAAGAGATGCCATTAGTTTACCATCATACTGTGATTACAGTGAGCCACCAGGCTTTCATGGAGCAGCAGTAAGTCATGGAACTGAAGAAAAACATTAGTTCTTAGTTTTATTGACTTCAGACTTCAACAAAGCAAACGCTTTAAATCTTAAAGCAATCAAGATGTATGGCATGTACTATATATTACACGCACACACAGAGCACATGTTTACATATAGCCATGGTATATATGGAACTGTGAAGATTAAAAGTGAACTGTATGAATCCACTATTATCTTTGAGAGCATGTCTAAGGTGAGGAAATTGACATCTCCAAACACCGGCCTTGGGTTTGCTGTAGGGTCTGATCCTGCAGTGCTCAATTCATAAACAGGTTTGCCCTCAGGTGAGTTCTGAAGGGCTGGGAGGCAATCTCAGCCTGGGTATGGTGGAACACAATACTGCTGTGAGCAGCAAACAGTGCCACAGAACTGATTTGAAATGCTTTGGTTTAAAACAAACAAACCGACCAACCAGTAAAAATCAAACAAGTTTTTGAGACCAAAAACCTAGTCTCAAAAGAACATTAAAGTTCTGAATTGAAATATGCCTCAAGCAGGGCTGCAGGCATGTGTGAGGCGAGGACACAAACTGCGGTGCTAGAGCATTCCTGTCTACCAGACTCCAGTTCCATAGCAGAGTTTTCACCTATTGTAAGATTCACTTTTTGCTCTGCGTGCTCCAAAAGCTAGACTAAGCTATTCTCACCAATAGAATATTGCCTCCCTCCACAAATAAATCTCACACCCCTCAAAATCTCTCCACAATGTAATAACCTAGACAATGCAACATACTGCATTTTGACAATGATATTACCTTTTGAGAAAAAAAAATTAAATCTGTCATTGTGAGCATAGGTCAAATTTTAACCCTTTTTTTGACCCTTTAAGTCAACTTCTGTGCAGTAACACAGAATTTACAACCAGTGTCTGTCACCCAGTGCAGCAGTGCAGTTCAGCACAGAAATGTACTATACAAGTTCTTAACAGTAAAAACATGCTGACACCACTTAAGACAAGAGCACAATGCCATGTGCCAGTCTTGTCTCTGCTGACTAACTGGACACACCAAACAGGATTGGCACAGTCAACCTCATGATACAGAGCCATCTTTCCAAGAAAAAGAGCTCACTATGGATGAACTGACAATTACATTTCTACCATTTCCAAACTACCATAGAAAATATCATATTTCAATAGAAGAGTGACTGAAGGGAGAGGGGAAACAGCTGGAGGTTGTTTTGCCAAACCAAGTAATCAATGCTGTTGCCCTGTCATGGGCGACCTTACATAAGAGGATGCCTCAGAGGACACTGAAAGCTTTGAAATATGATCTTGGCAGCCAGGTACAGCTGGCAGGACTTTGTAGGATCATAGAACCATCTGGTTTGGAAGGAACCTTAAAGATTATTAAGTTCCAACCCCACAGACAATGACACCTTTCACTAGACCAGGTTGCTCAGAGCTCCATCCAACCTGGTCTCAAACACTTCCAGAGATGAGGCATCCAGAGCTTCTCTGGCCAATTTGTTCCAGTGACAGCTTGACTCAGGATGTGCCCTGATTACAAGATTTTAACTTACTTATTTTTTAATCCCTATATGTACCCTGTTTCTCCTCCTCCTCCTCATATTCAAATGAAAGCTGAGGGGAATCCATTGCAGTCTTCTTGCACACAACACCCACTCAAAGACAAGATGCAACACAGCACTTCACAATTTCAGTATCCTCCTCATCATCATCATCATTTTGTATTCTGCTGTACTTTTAACAGATTTGGTATTGAACAGAAAGCTATCTATAGGAATGAAAGCAATTTCATGATTGCTTTACAAAAATAGAGTTAAAAATAATGTAATGCTTCCAATTTTTTAAAATTGTAATTTAATTTGCTCTTACAATGCAGAGCTGAACAAACCATCCAAAAATATGAAGTTTTTCAGTTCTTACTTTACATAAGCTTTTCAAATAAGATGAGAAGCTACATTTGGTTTAGCTTTAACTCATGTTATCAGCATCTTTGAAAGTCAGACCTATACACTGGGAAAAAAGGCATCTAGAACTTTCTTCACACAGTAATTTTTGTGGCATTTTAACTGCCTTTCTTAGTCAAAGCAGAACAACTGCTTAAAGTCACTGCTATAAAGAAGTTCATGAATTATGTACATAGAACTAAGAGAAACACTTAAAAGAAGCTGAACGTTTGGCTTTATTTTAACTAGAAAAAATGGAAACCCCCAAATATCCTATTTCATCTATGTCCAATAGCCTCTGATGAAGCAAATTTATCTAACAATTTCAAATATTCTTAGACTATTTGTCCAAAACGTCTCACCCTGGATCTAACTGATCTTCCAAATGTTAGCTTCCAGACAACTGCTCTGCTGTCTTTTGTCATCTCAGAAGTTCCAGCATCACAGCATCGTCACTAGGATTCAACCACAGATTCTGCTCTGTTCTGATTAACACTTCCAGGATTAAGACACCTTCAGAAGAGGGTTCTTCCTTACCCTTCTCTCACACATTTCCTTATTTGTGATTACCTGTACTAATGCTTGAGCCAGATACATTAGCAGCAGGATCTACATCATGTGTTATCATAAGGATACAGGAAACCCCCACAACAAGAATCACCACGACCAGTGAGTACATATAAAAGCAACACTGAAGGAACTAGAAATACTGCATTGTTGAATGAAATCTACAAATAAGAATATCCAGCATTTCTTGGATTCATTACCATTGATCTACATACTGCCTATCTGAGCAGTCCAGAGAGTATGGAGGCCAGTGAGCTGAGATTCTCAACCAACTAAGAGATCATGCAGCCCTCTGGCAATACTGACAGCTGTTCAACGTCCAGAGAGACTCAGATAATTTCCCTTCCCAAACAAATTTTGGTCAGTATCACTGCCAACCTCCCTGCTGGCTACTTGTCCCAATCAAGGACAGGCCTTTCTGCCACTAGTCTCTAAGTTTGCAGCACCTGTCCATGTCATCCACATTAAACTTTTAAGACAATGTAAAACCAGCAAAACATTTCCAAACTAGAGGAAATACTAACAATACTGTCCTATATTTCAAGGCTCAGTCTTTGTATGAAAGACTGGGCTGCAGATTGATTGCTTTGTACATTTTTTTTTTTTGTACCTGTTAGCTAAGCTGGTTTGGATACTTGTATTTTAGGCTCCAGCTACTATAATCTATCTCAAATGATGAGACAGCAAATGCTTATGCAGGGTGCTTGGGGAACTTTTTCAAATAGTGTACTTGAGCTATGAAGAATTTACCACTCTGGACAGTAACTGAGCAATGGCTTGAACCTGAGAGCAGTCCCAAAACAGTGTTGAGAGGCTTGCTGGCTAAGGTTTTGCTGCCATCAACATTTAGCAGGAGACAGTACTCCTGTGCAATGGTATGCACAATATAGTCACCCCACCTAGGAAAGCCGCTTCTCCGTATACCTCCCTTTGACCAACTTCTGTCAAATGCCACTGACTCCAGAAATGTATTTCCCAGTATTCAACAGCTACTGGACAGCAACATAAACTGGAATCAGTGAAGTATGAGCAGTAGTCGCCTCTGCTTCTCCTTACCCAAAGACACATGGCAGAACAAATCTTTTCTTCACAGGTTGAGCTGCTTCAAATTTCCAGTGTCAGTGCAGGACTGATGGCCTTACACTAGATGTCTCCAGGGTGTGTGCATCTCTTCTCCAGGACTCCTCTGACAAAGGGCTGAGGAATCCCAGAAGTCCTCATGAAACACACCTGTAAGCATTTTGAGTTTGGCAAGGATGGAAGGTTTTGTGTTTTACCTGTTAGCAATGTGCTTTGCAAAGACAAGTTGTTGATAACATTGTCTTTGCTTCTATCACTTATGATTTCCTCAATCTGGTCTACAAATACACATTTTCATGAACTAACTTTTCTGCTCATTTCATTTGATATCCACAGAGCTCTGAGCAGAAGTTACTTTCTTCTCAGTAGTTTACACCTTGCAAGGTTACATGTCAGTCCTGATGTAATCTCTGAAGCCCTTCAGGATCAGTAGCAGTTGACAGCATTTTGTTGGAGTGTGATACTCAACTGAGCATAGTTAAGTTTTCTTCCAAATATCTTACCCATTATATCTCCCACGGGTTTATGCAATACCTAGCTGTTGGGCCAGTTCAGAAGCACCAGAATAGCATAACACAGCATAAAAAATATTAAAGAGGTGACAGCAGTGGCAGCTTTTGTTCTGTCTGTTGTGCCTGCAGAACTGGACAGCAAAGACTTACTGGGAGTTTGCCTTTGGGGGGCTTTATACTTTCCTTACAGCCACACATGCAAGCCATACACTAGCTTATGCCAAACGCTACAGCAGATTTGTCACAAAAGGGATTACTACCAGTCTCTCTAGGATAAATTCAGTGAGATGAAAATCCCTGGAGGTGCATTACATACAAAGAAATCATCTCTAAGAGCATGATATCCTGAGCTGCAGAAGAAGTAAGTTGAAGAAGGTACTAGTGAGCATATTCAGAAACAAAGATATTCAGCAAATCACTTCCTAGGCACTGGGTATGAGCCACTGATGGACACAGGGCACTGCAGGGATGGATCCTTTGTTTGACCCAGTACAGCTGTTTACATGTACCTCTGCAGTCGAAAGTACTTCAACAGCCTCAGTGCAGGGTATCACCATGCCAATCCCTATGTCAACAGTCTTCCTCTGCCTGGAGTGGTCTTGACAGCCCTTTCCTTCTACAACTTTAAAAGAACACTAACCTACCAAACACCATTCATCTGCAATTGCTCTGAACAACAGGTCACCCTTGCCTGGCATTCCCTGACAGGCCTCAGGCATCAGGCTTTAGCAAACTGCATTCTGAGCTGATCATCACAGCCAGCTGAACAGGACCACTATCCTCCTACAAACAAAGAATAAGAAGGAGCCACATTCAGGAGCAGATGCCCATACACTCTCCTGGCAGGTATTCCAGACTGCACAAGTGGCAGCAAAATTGTACAGGGGCACCTGATTACCTCCTGGCAGAAATCTTTAGTTTCCATATCTGGATCAACTTGCAAACTCACAGTGACTGGATGCATACATCACTTCATGGTGATAATTATGTGCACTGGGTTACCTGGCCACATGGCTAGGTTGACAGGGTCAAATCACAGCGGATCAGGACAGCTGTAGCCACTCTGGGAGATTACACCAGTTAAGCTATTTTAGCAGAAACTGTATGAACTACATCCCTAGAAGAAATACTGAGTAAAACATACAGAAAATCCCAAACGTGTTTGAAAACACAAAGGAGTAACTTTTTTTTTTTTTCCAGCCAGACACTATTTTAATCTCTTCAGAGCTATTAAAACAGACAACTGAACTGAGACCTTAATGAATAGTGCAGGCTTATCTCTTACTACTGTTGACGGAGGAAGACAAATCTTATTTACAAGTGCACTTAGTGCAGTCAACTGGTGCACTACTTGTGTGAATGTCCCTAGATCCAACAGCTTCTTATCAAAGTCATGTACATTATTTTATGAATGACTGTCCCCAGTATGTTATTACTTCCCTAATTACAATTACATGCATTACATTCCATGTCAATCTAGCTGTAAAATCTGGACTACTGCATTGAAGAATAAATGTTATATTTCATTTAAGATTTAAATACTGCCATTTTTTTCCCAGTTACTATACAAATTAGCCCCTGGGTTTTATTTTTTTTTTTTTCTTATTAGAAAGTAACCCTCTTCCAAAACTGGATTATACTTTTGAGTTCATTGAGCAGATTTTTGGCTACAATTTATATATGAATTGTCTACTAAAGGATAGTTTGTTGTCTTATTAATAAAAGGCTTTAGGTTTCTTGGTCAGGTTATGAATTCCTTTCACTTAAAACAGAGTCTAACCCAGTAACATGTAGACAACATGTAAGTACATGCACAAAGACTCATGAGATTCCAATCCAAACTTTGCAATTCCATCTATTATAAGAACATATTCCACATTTTCTAATTGTTTTGTCTTCAACACATTCAGACAAACAATTTCATGCAAACAGAATTTACCTGAACTTCTTTCTTATTTAGACTTGATTTTTTGCCCAAGTATGTGGATGAAGACAAATTATTTAAACATGAAACACATAAAAAGGTAGAGACTTCTGTCACAAATTAAAGACAAGATTTATTTCGGCATCAGCATTCATTTCTTCCTGGCACAACTTACCAACCCATAGCTCCCATTGTTTCAGCTCTGGTTCTCCCACGTTTGGCCTCTTTAAGTAACTCTTCCACAGCCTTCCTAAATAAAAGAAAAAGGAAAAGGTCACCACTTGTGGAACACGAGAACTTGACATTTTATGCACTTAGGCAAATAAAACAGACAGCTTTATTCACTGAAGTGAATTAAGTAATAAAGAAGCTACCAAAATCACCTTGACTTTTAAGATAATTCAAATTCCTATGCACCAAGATTAAAAGAAACATTCTGAAATATTAAAACCAACTAAAGCTGTTGCAAATACAAAAACTGTAACACTGAATGAAGAACAGGGCTTGGGGCACTTCAAATCCTTTTTAAGCATACTTCTGCTTGTGAGAACAAGTTGGGTATCCTGTCACACTACAGGCACTCATGGAAAGGAATATCTCCCAGGTGAGGCATCATCTGTTGAAGATACCTTTTCCAAGATGCCAAGTTCAGTGCCAGCAACCTCACCAGCTACTGCTGCCTTTCCAGGTAAGAGAAGTGATGGGTGAGGGATGGCTACTTCCAAGAACAGCAAAAAAAATGGTGCACAGGCACCAAAAAAACCCCCACAGGCTGTAGCACTGGAACATGAGAGATGTAGCCTACACAGGTCTTCATGAAATTGCAGCAAAATTTATTTTTTCTTCAGACCCAGAATTTGCTATCTGAGCATCTTGAGCTAGGTTATAGCGATGATAGTGGGAACACACGGCTTTTATAGAAGCTTGCCCTGAGCCTTTAAACAGTAATGTCAGACAAAGGTGAGGAAAGAGGGGAAGAAAGCGTCTGACTTTTAATTACCAGTTACCAAGCTTGGTGATGCTCTTTTTAAGAAACCTGACTGAAAGATTAAAAGCCTGTCATTATTATTGTACTGTAAAATCTGTAACAATTATAATTGAAAAAAGAAACCAAATAATCTGAGCTACAAAGCACTAATAAAGCACACACATAGGTATTTCAAACAGCTATGATTCAGTTTTAGGGAAAACATCATAATAAATTAACATGGTGAGACCAATTGTATTAACTTAGGTAGGAATTATATGCCTTTAAGTATTTTAGACTTTTTTTGTTAAAGCTCAGACTGACTTGGCATCCACCTTAGCAGCCTTCTAGTTCCACACCTTCATTATCAAACATTGTTTCCTAATACTATACTTTCAACATCGCTCTTATTCACTGAAGCTTTACAAAGCCCTTTTAGCTTGCACAGACAAATTAAATGCAATGCCCAGATCCTCTCTGAAATAATGTTTCCACTCACTGAACTTATATCCTCCACACAAGTAAGCCAAAAGCTACACAAACAAGTTTTTAAAATTTGCTTTTAGAGGCCTCGTGGGACACCACATTCCTCGCTCGCTTCATTTTTACAGCTTGGTTACAATACAAACAGTTCCATGGCTGCCAGCTTCAATTCTAAAGGCAGCAGCATGAGCAAAGGGAATGCAGCATGTAACTTTCACATGAGAACCATCCAAACACTTGGGGACTGATAGGAGGGAAAATTAGGGACGGGGCACATTTAAGAACTCTGTCATCATTCTGACATCTTTTATAGCAAGCACCACTTAAAACTTGCTGTGGCAATTATTTTTGGGCAATCAAATTGCGGAATTACAGTAACATGAAGGTACAAGCAGTGATATTTTTATCTTCAAGAGTATGGTACAAGACCTATTTACATTTTTGAGCGATTAGACTTTTTCCTCTCACTGTATTACAAGGTTACAGGCAAAGTTCCTATTGCATATATCTTAAAAACCAGTATCATAAATGCATATGTCAAAATAATAGAATAATTCCTAGTCAGGCAAAATGAGAAGTATTTTCTATGCCTCACTCAGGGGAAGATCTTCATAATTTTTTTCCAAAAGGTCAAATAGATAAACCAAAAAAATGAAAAATTGGTAACAAAGAGGAACGTCTGATAGTTACAGGCAATGAAAACACCATGTTATTACAGAGACCACCCACGGTTTGTGATTACAGACGAGAAGATGTATGATGCCGCTGAGAGGCCAGGCAGCCTCCATAACAGGGTCCAACCAGTAGCAAGGCTGAAAATCAGCTCCTAGGAGGCAGATGCACACACCAGGCACTTACACTGCTGGCCACATCCATCACAGACATCACAGACAGACACACAGCATGCTCAGACCTAAAACTGCATCCTGCTCTTCTCTCCAGCCAGATCTGGGAGTCCCCAAAACTTCAGCCCAAGTGCACTGCCAGTACAAATCATCACACAGGGCTGACTGGGACACCCTGATCCCCCAATATCCAACCCCACTTCAGTTTTGTGTGCAGAGACACACAGGCACACACACACATCTCACCCCTAACCCTACAGTCTCCTCAGCAGCTGGCCAGGACTCCCTGGCCTCAACAGCTAGCTCCTCCTGGCTCTTGGAGATACAAGCTCACACTCCCCCTCTCTCCTTATTCATCCACTTACCAGCTGTTCCAACTTGATCTTCACCAACAGCCACATGGTCCCTCATACACCCATACTTGCTCCAGTACTACAACACAGATAAACACACAGCACCCAATGTGTTGTACCCCATTTCAGGGGCTAACATTTGGTTTTGCTCACTCCAGGAAATGTCCCCAGTTGCCAGCACACAGGCCTCCAGCACAGGGCCCAAGCCCAGCTGCTGGCAACCAAACCTTCACATGTACCAGTTGCTGGCACCACGGACCCACAGTCTGAGTGTAGCTGCTAGCGCTGCAATGTACACCCTCTCCCCTCAAACAGAGCCCTTCCTCCAAGACAGAGTCAGAAAGGAATTTAACAAGAAGACAGGACATACTGTGATGATTAGGAGCAGGGCACGACCAGACAAGAGCACCAACCAGCAGACGACCAGACCTTTTTATTTCCTTGTTCCTTTATTTTCCCACTCTCACTTCTCCCCACATCACTAGAACATCACTAGACTTTCCCTGACTTTGGTTTCTCCCCTATACATCCCATAGTAAGCCACAAGTGAAACAACACAGACTGGTAACCAGGGTGACCACCAAGCCACAGCTGAAACGCAGAGCGTGGATTCTTTCCTGACCTCCCTAACAAGACCAAGCAGGGACACACAGGGACACAGGCTCCCTTAGGCTCAGTTCATCTGAGTGGCCAGGGGAGCCCACTGCTCGCCCCAGTTCATCAAAGGGTCTCACACATGCAGTTCATCACCTTGCTGTACTTTATATCATCTCTGGGCTTTTGATCTCTCTCTCTCAGCAGGAGGCTCAAGCCTCTCTGTGAAAATGCTTCGGAAGTCTCTGATAACGTTTATGTTATCTCTACAGCTCTGTCAAACCAGAGTATAATCAGCAGCAGGCATAATATGGGAAGTTTTCCCACATTGATATTCTTAGTATTCCCAGCTGCAACATAATTCGAGCAAAATTACTCCCCTCTTGCCAAATCTTCCCTTTTTGACCCTTTCCTCCCAAGAAGCCATATGTGATCACAAAATGCTTTTCTTCTGCATCCCATAACCCCTCCCGCAACCCTATGCAGCATCGCCCTTAAGTCCCAGGACTGACTCATCTTGATGGATATCATGCTTGGAGGCACAGGCTATCTTTTGGGATAAGCTCTGAAGTGGGAGGGGGGCCCAAAGAAGACCTTATTGTGAGTTCCCACCTACTGTATGTGTTCCATTGCTCCTTTGGGCTCATGGAGATGGAGCTCTGATGGGCTGGTAATTCTTGGCACAGGGATGGGAGAAGCCAGGACTGGGTGATATTTGGGTTCCCCCCATCCAGCATGGTCTCTCTGTAGTCCTCACTGGGAGCTTTCAGCACACAACCTAAAAAACTCTGCCATCTCCACCCATGCCACCATCTCATTAAAGACCCTGATGAGAGCTCTAATGAAAATATTTTTACTGGGATTGCTTCACAGCACACAGTCAGCTACAGAAGGGCACAGACCTGGAGTAGGAGGGCAGTGTTCATGTCCAACATCTCCCAGTCAGAGAAGAGACATCTTTAACAAACACATCCTCATGAAAGCATTAATAACTGTTTGCAGTCTATTCCACTACTATTAAAGCTCAAAGACCAAGCTTCTCCTCTACTGCAACTTGGAGAAATCACACTTAAGCCTACTTTCTGAGGCACTGCAGGTCCTGACAGCAAGCTGCAAGGTCAGGAAAAACAATTAGAAATTTTTAAAATAAATTTTCTCAAAGCCGTTGTATACTAACAATACAACTTATTTTTAACTGTGCATGGGACTAGAAATAGAAGTGAATGTTGGTATTCCAATTACAGCTGAATAATGAATATCAAGACCTTCAGTCAAACAAGTGACTGAAGACACTGGCATTGTTATTTAAAATTAAATCTCATGAGCTGGTCCTATCCGCTCACCCTTACTAAGAAAACTGATGAAAATGAAAGTCAGGAATAAAAGCTAGGCCATAACTACAAGAGCAAGAATGAAAAGAAGCACAATACGCCACAAGCTTCCTGACATTCGTTCAAAGTCAAACACATCGCACACTGGGGATATGAATGCTCTCATTCTTTGCTGATCAGGTTTTGTACTTATTTAAGTATTCTACTTGACAAGTCTTGTGAGTGCTATTTGCAGCACATTTCTGTGCTGATATTCTCACTGGTCTGAGTAGTAAAGTGAATGTATCACTCCATTTCAAACACCAATCCTAGCCTGCACCCCACTTTTCCTTTTCTTTTTTTTTTCCCCTTTTCACCAGGGGTAAGGAATACTTAATCCTGACACTTGACTTTAACTGTTAAAATCAACAGTAAGAACCATTAATTTTCTCCAAGGCACAAAGCTTGCTTTTTAAAAAGTGTAGTTGGGCTGCCTATGAAGCAAAAATATTAGATTATTGATTCTCAACTCAACTACAGGCCTCTTGTTACAGAATTATAGCATTCTTTGTGACTCAGAGCAGCATCTCCTTAGGAAACACTTAATCCCAAGTAAATGATCCTCTAAATAAGCTTGGCAGGTACTTCTAATAAAGTATGATATCCAAGGTTGTGGAATGTTTATAGCTATTGAAAGACAGAATGGATTATGGAAGGATATGGACACACAGTATAACAAAGCCACTTCCTCTGTATTTGAAGAGAAATAATGCATCTTCTGTGCTTCAAACATACAGAACCACAATGGCAATACTTTAGGAAGTAGAGGGGGGAGAAAGATTAAACTTTTTATGCAGGAATGAAAATGGTGACCTCCATAATATCTCAGTGTATATTTAGTTGAAATAAACTAGGAAAAGCAGTTTCAGGTGCTTGCAGAGGAAACAAAGTGAACAGCTCCTACTAGCTGATTCCCTTTTTCCACCTTCTTCTTAGGTCATAACTTCAAATACCATTAATCATATGTTAACATAATTTAGAATTTTCTTAAGAATCACATGGAACCTTAAGGCTCAGGTCTTCACTGATGTACCAGCAAGTTCACAGGGGAAAATCTCAGTTCGTACTTCCATCAGAGGTTACTGGGTGAGATGGAGTAGAGGATGTAGTTCAGTAGAATGTAGCAAATATTACTGTTTTACACATCTGTGATATTTATAGTGTTTAGAGTTTTAAAACCCACAGACTGTTGCATTCTGTATGCAACAGTCACACAGGAACTTTAAGTACTCAACTTCGAGGAAAACCTCACTTCATATTAAAGTGAGGAAAACATCAAAAGCAAGATCAAGTGAGAGTCAGAAACAGTAAAAACTGAAAAATAATATCAGGAAATGTGGCAGTAAGGATAAAAATAAAAGAAGCTAGGAGAAGAGACTTCTTCTTAGATAGTAACAAAAATATAGGGCGACTGACTTAACAGATCACTTTTTGGAATACTGGGACACGAAATTCATTTCTGACCTGAAAAAGCATGCACAAAAATATTATAATTCTTTCTCCCTTATGGTTAATTAAATAAAAAGCACATGTACAAAAACCTAGAGTTTTTATTTAAGTCCTGTGCATTGCAAGACAAGCCTGAATTCAGAGACAGACTTCTCAAAATATTCCACATAAACCCATTTTTGAACACTAAAAATGCACTAAAGGAATTAATACTGTGGCTACAGAACAGAAACACTATTATTTGTATGTTAAACCCATAATACAAAACCCTTAAAAATTATAAGCCTAAACTGCCATTGCTACACTATTCACAGGATGATATGATCAGTAAGTTATTGAATATGAATCTAAGGCATAACGTCTGTAACCCAAAGGATAAAGACAGATCTCTATTAGACTGGAAGGGCTCTGTACTGAAGACTGTACAGTGAAGCACTATTTAGAGTGAATAATACCAAAGTACACCCTCTAAATGCACACAGCACAAACTGAATTCAGGGTGCTACTACCAAAGCAGGCTGTCATGAAAACTTAAGGTATGAAAAAGCAACTAATGATAGGTGGATTGAGGACAGGAAGAGCCAATTGTCAAGTGCACTACACTGTAGTTATAATGTGTTTGGGGCCGACTAAACACCCTCTGAGGTGCACAGTGACACGGACTGGTGACACCAAACAGCTAAACCCTACTGTGCCACTTTGACAAGTGACACTGAGCTTCATCCTCATTATTTACCACACTGCCACAGAACTGGAATAGCAAATCCTAACTTGGAGTGAGCCTTTGAGGAAGGGTAAAACTTTGAATGTAGTTTCTTGGAAGAAGAGCATCAGTCAGGAGGTGACTGCGGAGCAGCTGGCTACAGCTGGTGAGGTCAGCTATGCCCTGAACTGCCCAGAGAACCGCAGGCCCCCAGCACAGCAGCAGCAACCAGAAGACAGCATGGAAGAACAGTGGCATAGTTTTAACTTGCCATGAATGAGAAAGGTTTAAGTTTAGAATGGCACTAGTAAAAATAACATTCATGCATACACTGAAAGAAGCTTTAATTATTAAACTGATGATCTGAGAACAGAAGTAGCTCAGCAAGAATTAAAAGCCTCTTAGAAAGTATTAAGCACTCTAGCCCTTCCACTGTCTCAGTACTATTGCTTTTGGCACATTTCAAATACCTGCCAGATACAAACAGAAAAAAGTTATTTTCGGTAAGCATTCCCAGATACGGTTTCTTAAAAGTTAAAGGAGAGAACCATGAGAGCAGTTCGGAAAGCTTCTGGTCATCATTTCACTATAACAGTTGTTTTAAACAGCCATAAGGAAAATGAACAACCCAGAAATAAGCTTGCAAAAAAAATTTCCCATCAAACAAATAGCACTGTTTTGCAAAACATTTGTGATATAAACACCAAAAGTCTATTCCTAAAACAAAAGCAAGAGAGGCCTACTTTGAGTATCCTAATATAGAAATCAATGTTTTATTCCTCAGCGTTTGCTTGAGAGCATTGCAACTCAAAACGTGCAGCAAGACAAATCCACTTGTCACAACGAAATGCCAAGCAGACAACAGTTTTATTTTTTGACAAAATAACTACCAACCATTTTGTATTTTTCTCATACAAGAACATGACAATTCTAACAACTAGTCAAAGGGCACAACTGAAATCTGAAATTTCTAACAACACAAGGTGTTTTGGGATTTTTAGAATTTATTTTGCCAAGTCCACAACTCATCAAATTGTAGCTAATGAGGGGTGAACCATCCAAGACCTTCCAATCTTGTTTCTAAGCGACAGCAGCACGCACCCAAAGCTCTGTGCGGAAGACGCGGCAGAAGCAGCCCCAGGCCGCGCTGCCCTCGGGGCGCACCCTGGCCGCACACCCACGGCAGGGGCTGTCCGGGGGCAGCGGGCAGAGCCCGGCGGAGCTCGGGGCCAGTTCTGCGGCGCGGAGCGCTCGGGCCGGGGGAGCCGCCGCCGCCCCAGCCCCGCGCTGCCCGGGCCTCGCGGCGCGGGAGGCGCTGCCGGGCCCGGAGCGGCGCAGCAGCCCCGCGGAGGCCGCTCGCTCTCGGGACCGCTCCCCGCGCTGTCGCTCGCCCCTCACCTCTCCAGCTCCGGGTCCTCCTCCATGGCTCCCCCACCGTTCCCCGCTGCGGCTCCTCAGGGGCAGGCCGGCGCCATCACCCGCGGTCGGCCAGGTGGGGCGGGGCAGCGGGGCGGGCGTAGGGGCCGGCGAGGACCCCGGCGGGAGGAGCCGGGGCGGTGCGAGCCGGGCCCCGCCACACCCCGCCGGGCACCTGCGGCACCGGTGGTCGCGCCCCCCGCCAAAAGGAGAGCGGGGCGGTGGGCTCCCTAGCGGGCAGGACCCCCGTGCACCGCCAACAGGGCGGGGGAAGCAGACGCGGGGCGGTGACTGAGTGTGGGGAGGGTGGGAGCGCCGCTGGGGCTCTCAGTCACGGAGCCGCCCAGGGTTTGCTCCTCGGGCGCGGCCGCAGGGCTCGGGCAGGCGGGGACAGGTCCGCGGGCGGCCTCGGGCGGGCAGCGCCCCACCCGGCCCCTCCTCCGCGCCGGCCCCGCCCGCGCTCCCCACCTCTCCGGGCTCCGCACAGCCGATCAGGCGAGCGGCGGGGACACCCCGGCCCCGGGCTCCACCGCGTCCCGCCCCGGCCCCGCTGCCATAGGCTGCGGTTCGCCCGGCCCCGCGCCCGGGGCCGCCGCCGGAGTGGCGGAGCGCCGCTGTCACTTGGGCCGCGCCGCTGCCCGCGGCGGGGGGCGGAGGCGGGAGCGCCGGCCCGGCCCGGCCCGACGAGACACGTTCTCCAAGTGCTGCTGCCCGGAGTTTGCTTCCCCTAAGGCGGGGCGGGCGCAGCCGGCGCGGCTGAGGAGGAGAGCGCTGCGCGGAGCCAGCGCGGTGAGTAACTTCCCTGCCCCGCGCGGTGCCGGGCGCTCATCCCCGCTCAGCCTCCTTCAGCGTAGCGGCACCGGGGGTCTCCGCGGGGGCGGCGGCGCCGGGCTGAGCTCTGCGCAGGCAACAAGTACGGGAGTGGGCAGAGCTGCGGAGCCGCCGTGCTGAGGTGGCTGAGGCGGAGGTGGGATCCTGGGAGCGGCGTCCCCGCCCTGGAGCCCCCGGCTCGGCGGCGGGGCTGAGCCCGGCGGCCCCTGCAGCGCGTCTCTGCGAGGCTGAGCTGTGGGCTCGGGTGCTGGAGACCCACTTGGAAAGCGCCTGGTTCTGGGTCCCCCGATACACCTATGCTGCTCTCGTGTGGCTTCATTAAAGAAGCTCTTTCTTGGAGAGGAGTCAGATTTCTGCGTGCGGGGGAGGCAGAGAACAGCTGCGAGCGAACCCCTGCTGCAGGAGCGGGTTTCAGGTTGTGTGTTTTACAGCTGCGCCAGAGGAACTCGGGGCTGGCTGCGAAATGCCGCCGAGTCCGTGTGGTTGGCAGCTGTTTCCAAATGTTCACGCTAGCCCTCGGGGCTCTGACCCACACTCCCTGGTTTCTCCCCTCATTAGTTAGCTCTTAGCACTGAAAACGTGGTTAAAAAGTTTTCGTCTTTTATACTTTTAACAAGGCGTACTTTAAAATTATCATTGCTCTTGATGGAATCATAGTACTTGGTCAACTAACAGAGAAAGCCGTTCATGGAGCTCTGGTGGGGGTGAATCTGGTAGTCCCTGGTGACTTTTCTTTCATAATGCACAGTACTGATTGTTTGCTTCTCTAGAAATCTATTAAGTACTTCTGAGCTTCCTTTAATTCCTCTTTTAATTACACGATTTAGGAGTTTGGTTTTTGTCTGTGTGCAGAGTAAAAAATGTCTGAGGGATTAGCTTTGGACTACATTTGATAGTCTACATTTGATAGTCTCTGGAAATAAATTTCTAATCATAAATACTTTAGAACTTATGTTCAAAATAGGAACTGGTCTGAACTGCGCTCTCATTAAATAAACACTTTGAATTACTGATTTTATCTTTTATTCCTCTACCCACTTCTTCTGGTTTTGTAATGCTTTATTCTAAGCTTCAATCCAGCTCAAGGAGGCTTAGGAAGAACCATCAGATGAAGAAACATCAGATGGTTTTGGTTAGTGTCCCTTCCACTTGGAAAATAAACATGTTTGTACCATATGCTGCCCTGTCTTTATTAAAACAAATTTCCTTAAAATGGAAACAAGTTATATCAGTGTACTTGCTAGAACTGAAAGACTGAATAGGAGTCCTTTATAATTACTCTTTTTTTTCTAATTATCAGATCACTAAGGAATCCTCTCTCCTGAACACAGTACAATATAAAATTATTAACTCCAGAGTCATCAGGCTGCAAATAACACTATTGTGCCCAAGTAGATTTTTTTAAATAAAAAAGGTAATAATATTATTTTTTAAAGTGCTTGTTCTGTTGCAATTCGAAAATGTATGGATCTTAAAACTCATAGTATTGCCATGAGTTTTCAGTACTGAATTCCTAACTATACTTACCCTTTACTTTACTTGGTGACTTCAGCAAGAGGGAGCCCAGGGCCTTAGACTTGGGTCTGAGATTTGCAAAGTAGTATCTTTTCCTCAGACTGCACCTGAACTTTCTGTTACCAAAACAACAAAAAATGTGACAGTTTAGGGACAAAACTTTGCAAGAGGAATGTAAGCCGGTGATTGGGTGGAAAAATACTGTTCTCCTGAGATGGGTTAAAAAATAAGCTTACTAAAAACCTGTCCTGCCAAAAATGGTGGCTTTGGCATTGCAACATTTGGCATTTGTTTATTGTGTGCTCTCACGGAAGCACTGATCACCTCAGTGAAAGTTTCTTTTTTTGTATGCCTTTACCCGTACTGAGCAGTCTCAATCTTGGTATATATTTATGGGTGTATATTCATGGTATATATTTTACTAATGTATTTATATTACTAAAAAACAGCAGAAATTTGTTAGCTACCAGTTAAAACTATGTCTGAAAATATGCCAAAATATCCCCCTCTTCTTTCATCTCATTTTTCTGTACTTGTAAAAAAAAAGTTAACATATTTGAAGCCACTGGGAAGAAGTTATACCAGCAATATCAAAGTGAAATGTGTACTAGATGTTAAATAAATATAAATTATTGCCTTGCATCAGCAAAATGTTGATTGTTTAAAGAGCTACTAGACATTAACAGCTGTAACTAATGAGAAAACAACATTTATTTTGTGTTAAAATGCTCCCTGGTGTAAAAGGCACCAGAGGAAGCTGGTTGACTATTTGATATGGCAGTGGCTTTCTCTGGTATTTGAAAATTCTTTGTTGATTTGGTTTGCAGAAGCATTTTTAATGTGACGCCATTGAATTGCATGCTGTTTAATTGCTTTATTAGGTCAGTGGAGTTTGTCCTTTAGAAATTCTAGTGCCTTTAAATATTAGTATTAAGTTATATAATTGATAGGTCAAGGTATCTATGGAACAGTAAAAATTAATAATATTATGGAGTGTACTTTTTGTTCTAATTCTGTAGATATTTGTGCTTGCATATGCTTGATTTTAAACATTCAGATATTTCTTTTGCAATGAGAGGGTCTGTTCTTAGGCTTAATAATAAGCCTGCATGTAAGTGTTTTCGGGATTTATGTTTGCTAAATTCATGGGCTGAACCTGTCATGTGTTTTCATACTGACTGCTCTGTATTCTGTATGAGATAGTGTAGGTGGCTGATGGGGCTGGGCTTCACCTTGACAGCACATGGGGAGATGTCCCCAGCCCCTCTGTTGTGTTACAGGGGGTCTCAGTGCTGTACCCAAGCTGGCTTCATCCTTGCAATGTGCTCTGCAGTACTACAGGCATGTCTTTTGTTTCTGAAGCACTTTGGTGGTACCAGAGATATCAGTCCTGTATGTTCTCATGGATGCTTATTTCAGCTGATGTCAGTTTAGTAAATAATTTGCGGGCTGGAACAGGGGCAGAATCTCTTGCAGAGTCTTTCCTGCTGAGCTGTGTGTTTGGTGGTGGACACAAAAGCCAAAGCATGCAGCTGTTTGATATAAAGTCAGATAACTTGTGAATGTACAAGATTTCAAATTGGTTTGCTTTTTTTCCATTCAAATAATGGAAACTATTTTTGACATGGAAACTTGGGGTTATATAGCTCAATATTTGCAGTCTCATTTTTGCTTCAAGTAAGCAAGTTGATATTGCTCTGGAGTTGTGGCATGTTGTTAAGAGTTTTCTCACTGTCATCACAATAAACCAGATCAAATATTACATTATAAATGAGTCAGCTCAATGCTATATGGAAGGTAATTTTACCCAGGAAGAGTTAGTTCACTTTGGGATGGAGTGATAGATGTTCTGTTTTGCCAGGCTGTTTTTCCTTTGTTCCACAGAGAGAAATCACTGAGTCATCACAGAATGGTTTGGGTAGAGAGGGACCTTACAGGTGATCTTTGAATATTAACCAGCTTTCTGGGGCTCCTCTTCCCTCAAGGCTGCTATCCCATGATTCTCAACCAATCAGATCCCTGGAGAGGCCAGTCTGCTCTCCTGAAGCCTGGGCTACAGAGCCTGCTGTGCTCTTTGCTTGCTGCCTTAAGGTCCTCAAACTCCACCATTCCAAGGTCACTGCAGCCAAGGCTACGGACTAGCTTCACGTTCTGTACCAGACCCTCTTTGTTGGTGAGAACAAGGTTCAGCATAGCACCTCTTCTTGTTGGCTCTTCCATCACTTGGAAGAGGAAGTGGTTAGTATTCATTGGAGAGATTTGACACAATCACTGGATGGACTATACAGGATTTTTCAGAAGAACCCTTGTTTGTAGAACTAAATGCAGTTTGCTCAAGTAGTATATCCAATATGAGAACTAATCCAGTTTTAAAATGTTGTAAATGGTAGTAATAAGTAGTTTTAGATAATGAAACAGAAGGAACTATGACTTTTTTATCCTTTTTCTAGCAATAGAGCACAATGAGAAGTGGTCCGTGTTAATGGAGAACCTGTAAGTGCCTGGGCAAAGGAAGGCACTCAGTAGCAGCAGAAAGGCAAACCAGGACTTTTGGATTGTGTTGCCTGGAGTGGTGTAGTGCTGTCAGATATTATTCTGCACAGTGGGGAAAAATGAGCTACATGCTTCCTGCTTCTGCTTTGTACATTCCTTGCAGTAGGAGTGATTTTGAAGTGTGATACAGGCTATGTTCCCCAGCCCCTGAGATCACACTACCACTGTGTGTTCCCATGACCTTCTCCAAAGAGGTTGCACAAGCCCAGTGGAAGATGTTAGGATGTCTGTGTTGTGTATTCCCAGAGGCTGGCTCTTTAGAAGACAATTGGGAGTAAGCACAGTTTATTATTGGGTTCAAGTCAGTGTTCTTAATGCTGATGCTTTTATTGACTCTTGCAGTTGTACTCATTGTGTAGATTTTTGTTATGTTCTTTGCATGCAGTTTTTGCTTCAATCTTAGCTCTTTGCCACAGACAATCCTCTCTTACTGCAGTATCATTGTCAAAAACTGTGGCCTCAAAAGACCAAAGAATACCAGTGATGGAAGATTTTTA